TCTCTTTCATAGTATCTATGTACATTTACAATGTCTTTCTACTGACAACAAAGCTGTCTTGTTCTTATATTGAGCAGTTTCCTCCATGCTGCCTTTGTTTCCCACAAGTACGCATTGCCTACTAATCCTCAGCGTTTAAGCCAGCATCTCCTTCATCGCCAGCCAGTTCCCGCTGTAAATTCACCTTCAGCCAGGCTGCTTTCCTCTGAGCCGTGTCACCGTCTCCTCCCAGCTCCGGATTTTCCCATGCGTTTGGTCTTCTGCTTGGCAGCACGATGCAAGATCGAGCAGGAGGAGGACATGGGAAAACCCTCAGGAGAAGCCAACGCCCTTCAGAAAACAGAGACCACTCCATCCGTACGTCCACCTGATCCTGATGCAAGGTCCTCTGCCAGCGTGGGCATCTCCATTCCTCACTCACTGGGCTTTCAGGCTGCCTCAGTGCTGCTTCTCCCAGCCTTCCCCATCAGCAGCAAATTAAATCCAACGCCACCGAGGTCAAATCGCAGCTCCTCGTTGCATTGAGAGCTGCAGCTTGCACTTGGCTGCAGGACAGCAAAGCCCAGGAGGGCCCAGGGACTGCTCTGTCTGCGGGGCTATCGTGTCTCCAGCCTGTAATCACTCCTCCTCCAGAAAGCAGCTCTGTCCTTGCTCTCACGCCGAAAACAGATAACCGCAGAGGTTCTGGCTGCACTGTGATCAGTGCTATACTTTGTGACTCTGTGCGAGTTGTTTCACGCTGCATCCGAGGTAGGAAATACACTTTGACAGTAATATCGAGATGCAATGTGCAAATCTCTGTGTTTCCAACATTCAAAGTTACCTCACAGCTCCCAAGCAGTTTGCACAGTTGATTTTTTCCCTCCCCCTTCCTGCAGCTGATTCCTTTTAGAACCAACAGCATCTTTCATTTTTGAGCCTGTGCCGATCCGAGGAACAACCAGGGACCCGTAACGCTACAAACCTGAAGTATTTGATAAGAAACCCCTTGTGCAAGGCTCTGAGATCCCCTCCCAAGTCCACGTCTCGTTCAAGTGCGTTGAATTCTTTCCACCAGCCCCAGTGGGAGCTGGACGGGGACCCAAAATAACGCCGCAGATAAGGATCTGACTGTAACTTCTGACTACAGGCAGGCTCCCATTGTGCAAGTCGCTGCTATTGAGCTTAAATACCAGCGGCAGCCAAAGGCAAGGAGAAACGCTTCTGGAGGAGCCAGAGCATACAGCCAGAAATGTGCAGCGGGGGAAAACAAAAATGCCACTTTTCTCCAAGGACAACGTATCCCGAGAGAGGAGGTACACGAACTGCCGGGCTGACATCGCGCTTGCAACAGAAAGCACCAACTGAAAGGAAAACGGCTGGAACACGATGTGTACACACAGACACACAGCAGACCACATGAGGAACGTCAGCCAGCCTGCTGGCCCAAAGATTTCATGCTAAAAAACCTACACAACGAAGGCGGGGAAACGAACACCTCTTCTAATATGGGATCCCCCTTGGGATCTTCCTACAGCAAATAATAATAATAATAATAATAATAAATCCCTAGGAGTCAGCGTAAGACTCTGGATTGCATTTTGTTACATCCATCACCTCCAAGCGCTGCACACTCCCAGCTCCCGAGTGCCAGGGCCCCTTCTAACGACATTAACAGAGGGTCCCTGCCCCAGGATTTAGCACAAGGTGCAAAAAAAAAAAAGACATTTTGACAAACAGACAGATGGACCGGGGGAGGAAGAATGAGAGGGACATGTGGTTACCCACAATTGGCAGGTTGCTTTCTTTTCTCTTTTTAATAAAAATAAATATCAGTAATCCCCACTGGCCACCTGCCTGGCTGATGTATACTTAGTTAAGAAGGATTCGAGCGATGGGAACCGATCAAAAGTTCAGCAAATTTGGGGTAAGGTTGGGTAGGGGGGGGTTAAGGGCCGCAGCTAACCACAGGACCCAGAGAAATGCCACTCTCCACTCTCGTTCCAGCCACCCTCTGGCCCTCCCTGCTTTCTCCAAGAGTCAATTCCCACTTGGGGAGAGAATCCCTGAAAAATAGGAAGGGAAGAGGAGCAGTTGGTAGGCAGTGACCTCAGCGCTCCTCGGCACAGCTTGCCCTCAGAGCGATAAGGCTGGAATTGTGTTGGTGTTTAACCAGATCATTTCAATCCACAATGAGGGCCGTTTAGCAGCCAGAGCAAGCACGGGGAGAAGGGAGAAATGAAAAAAATAATAAATAAATGCTGCCGAGTTTGTGCAGAACAGCAAGCACTGGGCTGTCCCCCTGCCCCCCAACTGCGGCCACCTTACAGGCCAGGCAGCAACAGGGCGTCCTCAGCGTGGGAAAACATGTACCCGAGTTTTAATTTATTTTCAAATCAGCATTTAAACGATCGCATCTTACATCATTTCCTTTTATGAGCCAGCAGCTAGACAATATGCATCATTTACATGCACTTTTGGAAGGCTGCTCCGTAAATCAACACAAGGAGCCTTCAGTGCGCGTTAACCATTGCGAGGCTCCCGGGGAGCCACCCCGGCCTGCGCTGGGGGCAACTGGGGGCATCGGCCCTAATTCTGAGCTTTCTGGTACAATCACACGAGGGCTGCTCCTGTCCTGGGGGCACACGGAGCTCATTTCGGCCCTGATTCACCCCCAGGTAACGTCTTCTTTGTCACACAGTGCTGACAAGGCTCCTTGACACACCAGCGGGGTTACGAAGATGAAAATTACGTCCGCGCTGCGGACTTGAAGCAGAGCAGCCCAAAACTTTGCATTTTCCAGCTTCGTACCCCACCGAACGGCTGAAACCCCAGAAACACGCCGCTAGACACCTCTGAGCCACCTGCAGCGAGCGCAGCCCAGGCGGAGAAAGGCCAAAACCAGCCCACGTGCTGCTCCCCAGCACCTGGAAGGAGACCCCCGACGGGGCCGGGGCACCCCCGGGATGCCGAGCGGCGAGACAAAGAGATAAGGCCGGAGATAACGTCATGCCCTCTCCCCGCGGTGGCAGGTAGCCAGCCAATCCTGCCGCCAGCGCCCGGCTGACATCAGCGCCGCTGCCGACACCGACGCCGATGCCCGCCGGTGGAAAAGGGGCTCGAGGGAGAGAGGGAGGAAGGCTTTGCCTTTTCCCTCAGCCCCTCCAAAGCCCGCCCAGGGCACACATGCAGCCTCTGGTGGCTCTGGAGGGATTTTTCCCCGGCAGCTCGGTGGCTGCGAATAGTCAAACGCTACTGCAGGGCCTACTGGCATTCCCATTTCAGAGCTGTTTTGGTTTTAAGAATAAAACCGAGCCTGAATCACGAGAAGAAAGTTATGTCCAGCCCTGCAAGGCGTCCACACCTTGTGTGCACACACATGCAAAGCAAAGACAGGGGGCACCAAGCGGCTGCGCGCATCCTGACGTTTGCACCTGCCCCCCCAGGAGGGTCTGGCAGCCTCCCCAGCCATTTCCTTCACCCCCGCCTCCAGCTACAAAGCAAGAGGAAACCGTGCTGCCACTATCAAAACTGAGAGGAAGGAGGGGGAGCCTGGTGGCACAGGCCTGGCAGAGCTGCCCCCAAAACCTCCCGGCCCTTCCGCATCCACAAGCACGTGCGCTGAGGTTTGCTCCTCCTGCAGCTTCGCCCCGAGAGCTGCCCCACGCGTCAAGGGAGCGAAATTCACAATTTCCAGGCTCAAGACAGTTAAAGCCAAGCAGGACTTTGCTACTTAAGCCGAAGCATTAGCAAGTAAGCCGTGAAACAATGTGCCAAATTGCAATAATTAACAGGAGGGGATAAAGTCACACATTCACGCCCTGCGATTTTTCCTATGAAGGGTTTGGGTGACGCAAGCTCTGGAGCAGAAGGATTGCAGGGAAAAAAAAAAAAAAAAAAAGATTAAATGGTTGAGCACGGGCGGGTGGTGTCAAAGTGCAGCTCCCAACCCACTTTCGGAGCCGTGCAGGGTTTTGCAGCCCTCTGCAAAGCGGGGCAGCCTGGCCACTGCCCTGCCAGCCCCGAGATGCACGCTGCGGGGCCGGGCTGTGTCCCGAAGGCTGAGGTTCACGCCCTCAAAACAAACTGACATGTGTTTCGCTCGCAGAAGACACACCGAAGTGCTTCGGCTGCTTGCCCCAGCAGCATCTCACCGTCAGGGAAGCCTTAAAAATGACACCGCCTTCTTTATCAGCACAAAAAAAAAAACCAAGCAGCTAGGGGTATCGAGCTCCTTTCTTTCAGTTATCTCGCCTTCCCTCTGCAAATTCTCCCTGCGTTTCTAGTTTAAGGCAAGCTCCTTCTGTCTGCGAGTATTAGGGCTGTGTGAATAATTAGTCATCCTGGGAGCTGCCACTCGCTGCAAAGTCATGCAATCTCGGGATTTGTTTGTTCCACTGACTTGCACACTGGAAAGGGGAAAAGGGAAAAAAAAAAAAAAAAAAAAAGAAAAAAAAAAAGGAGCAAAGCCGCCGAGTTTCACACCCACATGGGCACTCTCCCGTTTCTATTTTCTAAAAGTCATCCACTCGCCGAACAGGTTATTCTGGGGATCCTCATTCTCACCAAACCAATCTTCCCCGCTTATCTGATCGCCGCCCGGCGTGGCGTGCCCCCCGCTGCCCCGCTCGCCCCGGACCCCTTCAACCTCGCTGCTCCGAGGGTTTTCCAGCGAGGCAGCGGGGTGACAACCCCGGGGGAGGCCGGTGCCTTTGTCTCGAGCCGCAGCAGCGGCAGCAGCTCCCCGTCAGGGCTCCCCGAGCGATTTGGGAGCAGCCCCAGGAGCTATTTCTAGGGCTCGGCCACGCTCTGACAGCGGCCGCCCGGCTCGGCCTTTTCTCTGGGGGCACCCAGGGCTGCTCCATCGCTTCAGGGGCGTGCCTGGCGAGGCGCTGAAGCCCCTTTTTGCGAAGCAGGAGCCCAAGGGCCGGCCAACTCGTCACGCCAAGGCCAAGGCCACGGCTCCTGTCAGAGCCCCCTGGGCAGCGCCGGCGAGCGAGAAGCGAAATTCCGCCACAAACCTTGTAGACTTGCCCGTACGTGCCATTGCCAACCACTTCCACCAGCTCGAAAATCCCGGCGGGGTCCTAGAAAAGAGGGGAAAAGGGGGGGTAGAGGGAAGGAGAAACAAGAGCGGGGTTACGTTTCGGCCGGCTGATGGCTGCTGCCACAGCCCCAGCCAGGCGTGCTGCGCTGCTGGCGGCGTGCAGCTGTTGCGCCCTGCTTCTCCCCGCACATGCCAACGCATGCAAACAAAGGAAAGCAGCCCAGGGCCGGGCTCAGCCCCCCACAAACCCTTCCAGCACCCCTCCGGGGGGCTCCCCGCACGCCCACCCGGCCCCACACGGAGCCCGACCCCGGCCCTCGACCCCCATCATGGGGGGGGGACCCCCACTCCGGGCCGCTGCCCGCCCCCAGCCCCGGAGCTCACCCGCAGGGAGGACAGGTCGATATCCACCAGACTTTTCGCAGGAGAATCGTTCGCCATTTTCCCGTCTCTTCCTTTTCTTTTCCTTGTTTTTCTTTTATTTTTTTTTGTTGTTTCCTCTCGGCGTTAAATAACAGCGGCGCCCCCCCCCCTCCCTTCTTCTTTCCTCCTCTCCTCCCCGAAAATAAAAAAAGCCGTGAATGGCGCGGGGCTCCTCTTCTTATTTTGGGTTTTTTTGTTTCTTTTTTTTTTTTTTTTTTTCCTTTTTTCTTTTATCTCCTGCCCTTCCCTTCTTCTTCACCCCAGCCCCGCCGGGTTGAAACTCTCCAGCATTGGGAGGGGTTGGCGGGGGGATGATGGATAGATGGATGGGTGGTGGGAGGAGGAGGAGGAGGGGGGGGGGAGAGGGAGGTGAAGGCAGGCGGGGAAGGGAAAGGAAGGGAAGGAGGGGAGGAAAGGGAGGGAAGGAGCCGAGGAGAGGGGGAAGGGGGTGCCTCCCGGAGGGGCTCCGAGCTCGCTGGGGGTCCCGCAGGGTCCCCGGGGCTCACACCATGGCGCGGCGGCCGGAGGAGGAGGAGGAGGAGGAAGAGGAGGAGGAAGAGGAGCGGTGCCGGGGCCGGCAGCCTGTGGTGGCAGCCTCGGGGTGCTCCCAGAGCCCGGGCATGGCCCGGCCCAGCCCGGCTCGGCTCGGTCACACCGGCAGGAGGTGGCAGCCCCGGCCCCGCTGTCGCATGTGGGGGCTGACGCCCAGCGCCGCGGCGGGGCTGGGAGAGGGCTCGGCTGTGAGGCAGACAAAGATAGCCGGGGCGGAGGGAGGGAGGCAGGGGAGGAGAAAGGAGGGAGGAGGAGAAGGAGGAGGAGAGAAAAGGGCTGCAAAATACACCAAGAGCTGAGGGAGGGAGGGAGAAAACAGCTCCCCCTTCCCTTCTCCGACAGGAAAAACCGGCGGAGAGGCGGCCGCAGCGAAGCACTGCCGGGTGAGGGCGGGCAGGGAGGCGCCAGCCACGGGCGACCCATGGGTGGCCATGGGGTGGCTCTCCCCCGGGCTGCCCTGCGCCCTCCTGCCCCAAAATCCCCCCTGGAGAACCCCCCCTGCCTCCTATGGGGCTCTGTGGGGGGAAAAAGCGAGCCCAGGCTTGGTGGCGAGCCCCCCAAAGGGCGTTGTGTCCCCTTATTCACCGCCACCGAGGCCTAGGCTAGCTGGAAATCTTTTTCCACATCATGTGGCAAAATCTCCTTCACCTCCCTCTGCTTGCAGCCCCAAAGGGCAGTCGCAGGGAGGTGTAAAGCTTGGCAGGCCCCGGCTGTCCTTGAGGTGCGCTCCCCGCCTGCCAGAGGCCGGGCTGTGTTTCCTGTGGGAACCAAGGTTTTCCTGTCTCCTCGGCCCCAACCGCAGCCTTGCATATACATGGCTGCGAGTATCGCAGCGACACGCTCCTCCAACAGAGAGAACCTGTTGAGCAGAAAGTGCCAGGAGGAATTACCATAGCAGCTGTAATGGTGCGCTGCCTCCTGCAAAGGAAGCCGACTCGGGCCCAGACCGTGCAAATGTTTTTATTTTATTTTTTTTAGGGGAAATCACAGGAAGGCAGATGGGTTCGGATGGGCTGCACCCATCCCCGTGCGTGCACGCAGCGCTGGGATGGGGTTGAGATGCACAGTGGGTTTTAAAATCAGATCTGCACGGAGATTTACTGTCGACGGCTTGCTCTGCGTTACGTGGCGTCTTTAACTCAGCCCCTCCGTGCACGAGAGCAGCCTCGGCAGGTCGAACCCACTGCCCGTCTGGGCCAACATCTTGCCTCCAAATGCAGCCGGTGGTGAATGCCGAGGGAAGATCACAGGAATAGTTTATCCGTCCAGCGATACTTCCCCGGGGCGTCCTCCCAGCTGCCAGCTCACTGCCGCTCAGGGACTTCGGCAGCGTTTGATGCCCCTGCGCTCAAATAGTCCGTGATGATTTTCTTCCATTCAGTTGCCCATTTTCTGGGTGAATCCATACATACTTTTGGCTGTGACAGGGTCCTCCAGCAGTGAGTTCCCCAGGTGAACAGCTTGGTATGTTGAAGACCATTTTTGTTCAGAGGCTTTGAACCGTTCTCTAGTAGTTTGCAAGAAATCCCTGCTGATTCTTGTGCTGGAAAAATAAAATGGTGATTGTGTCCTATTTATTTTCTCCTTTGCATTCATTTTTTTATAGGCTTCCGGTGTGGTCCCCTCAGTTTTTGCCCTGTAGCAAATTCTGATCTTTTTACTGATGCCATGAACAGCATCCATTTCAAACTCCCCCTCCATTGAGCCACTTCTGCTGCGTAAGCCGTCTTTTTTAGGGCAGAGGAATGGACCTCCACACCCTCTTCTTGATGTTGGGTGCCCCATGCAGTGCTGTGGCAATGCCCTAGTTTCCAGTCCTTCCCTGGTAATTCCCAATACTCCCCTTTTTCACTGTTGCTGAGTGTGGAAATGACATTTCCATGGAATATGTCTATTGTAACTCCGCAGTCTCATTCCCTACAGCTAACCCTATCCCAGAGACTGTCTCCGTGTGCTCCTGGATTCCAAACCCTATATGTAGCACCTTTCTCATGCCCTTGAAAAATACAGCCAGAGTTCTGCAGGGCTGAGCCAAAATACACATTTTCAGTAACACAGCTCTGATGTGGCTCCACCACAGTGGCTCCTTGCTGCTTGGAGTTTGTATTTTAATATAGTCACTTCTGTTTGCTAGTTGGCTTTATTATTCTGCCAGAACACCAGTAAGGAAGCAGAACTGCTAATGAAAAGTTTGCAAATTCTTGTCACAGCCCCTAAGTTTAGTGAAAAAATAGTTTCCATAAATCCATAAATGCCACAGGACTTCTTCGTGCTGGTTCCCAGGGAGAAGCACCACACAGCCTCACCTTCCTTCTCCTTCCTACACAAGCCGAGGGATTAAAGAGTTGCTCTCTTGAGGAAGAAGTCTCTCTGGCTGTGGCCAAAACCACTCTGTTCACATGTTCGTCATGTTCATCATGCTCTTCACCAGCACAGCAGACTTGCCCAGTGTAGAAAGCCTAAAGGTTAAAAGACCAGACGTAAAACCACTGGAAAGAAGATGATGAGCAGTCTGTTTTAGCTTTTCCTCACAAAGTTAAACCAGCATCACCGAAGCAGGCAAGTGACACAAAAATCCTAATGGGGGTGAAGTCCTGCGGATAGTCACCCCGCACAGCAGTACATGACTGCGTCTTCTAATGACAAACTAAGTACCAGCATCAAAAACTCTGAGTCAGCTCCATCTCTTCAGGAACAAAGCAGGAGAAAGCTGCAGGGCCAGCATGCTGTTTTCTGTGACCCTCAGAGAATTGCACCGGTTCCTGCTCTCTGTGCTCACCGCAGCAGAGGGAACAGAGGAGCTGTAGCTTCCCGAGCACTTTCAGCATCCCTGGAGGAGGGAGTGTGAGCCTCTCAATCCCTCAGGCCATTTGTTCCTGCCCTCTGGCACCTCGTGCCTTGTGTCAGCAGTGAGCATTCATACAGCTGTGCAGTGGCTTCTTACTCATAGCCAAGCTGGCCCAGGAAAGGAAAAGAATTTTTAATTTTAGTATTGAGCGGTTCCCCGGGCTGGGGGTTCGTTGCATGCTTCTTTGAACAGTTGTTGACAAGAGGCAGCGCAGGGGCAGAAAATATGTGCAGGGGAGGAAGCGTGACCATCACGTTGCCTCTTGGTGGTAGCTGTGGCTTAGGCCAATTCAAACTCTCCGTGGACCCATCGGGGTAGAGCTGGAGAAACTTCCTTCCTTTCTGGAAGAGGCACTGTGGGGAAATGGAAGCCCAGCAGTTACGTTCAGGCCACAAAGCAAATTCCTTGCCATCTATTTTTTTTTTTTCCAGTTCTTTGAAGTTGCCTTTGTTTTATTCTTTTCCGCATTTAATACACTGGGGTCCTGATCGCTGACCAGAGACCCAGAGGTCACCAACTACATTAACGCTGTAAGAGCTTAATCACCAACAGCATTCAGGGAGATGAGTAAAGAGACAGGAAGTTCTGAGTTTTCGTTTTGTTGCTGCTACTGATTCACCCCGTAGCCCTGGGGCATCTCATTTCCTGCCTCCCCTCCCTTTCACTGTTGGGGAAGCGGGAATGATTTGGACCTGCTCGATAGCACGAAGGGTGAGGCATGCACCCCCTCGTACTGTTAGGAGAAAGGGCTCTCAGCTCGGCCAGGAACATCTGTGCTGGATGAGCCAGCGTGAGGAGCAGCAGGGCAGAGGGCAGCGAGTGACACTGAGAGAGGCTTTGCACGGCCCAGCCCTCCTGCTGCAGCCGGGCTCCCAAAACCAGAGGTCTTCAGAGCTTGCCTCTTCCCCTGCTTCGACAGGTCACCGACAGCAGGATGCCAGGCGATCAGCCTTTCTCCCGAAAAAGAAAGGACACCTAAAGGACAGGATGCTGCCTCGGTAGCACAGGAGAAGTGGCTGCTTTGAAGGAGTGGTGGGCAGCAAGGTGAAAGCAGGGATTCCTGGAGCTGTTACTGCCACAGGTCTAGGTATCATGAAACTGTGCCCTAAAAGTTACTTTCAGGTGAAAATGTTACCTCAAATGGCATCGTAGTATAGCCTGGGGAGACAAGGTAACCTTGGTCCTGTTATCATTAATATTATAACACGCAGCACCGGGGCATCCAGCAGCTCTGACTTGATCCAGATCATGAATGAGCATATAACATTGCTCTTATGAAAATAACCAGGGCTCACAACACAGTGTTTGTATCACTTTTATGCTGGCTGTGAAGAAGGAAGATGTTGTCTGGTCCATAGGACATCTCTAGCTGTAGGTCCATCCAAGCTAGGGGACGCGAGGAGCTGGTAGTCAAGGCAGCATGGAATTTGCCAGTGCTCCCGGAGGAATCAGCGAGCAGATCTGAAGCAGCAGAGCAAAGTTCAGCAATTTGCATCACATAGCTGGGGCATTTTGAATCCGCTTCTGAACATGCCCACACAGGATTTACACCCCGTGGAGCCGCAGCCTGCGCGGGGAGGCTGCTCCCATCCCTCCGACAGAACAGGACAAGGAGGGGCGATTTCGTGCCGCCGCCGTCTTTGGCTGACTCCACATCCCTCGCCGATCTACCCAGGATCTCACGCTTCACCTCAGGCCAGGAATTGTCAGTCCTGCAGCCAGGCTTAAAGCGGGCAAAAATGCATCAACCCGGCATAAAAATACCGCTGCATGCCTGGGCTAATTGAGACGGTCCCGGGTGTATTTTTGGACGCTGCCTGTGCTCTGGGTTTTAACCAGCTAGCTGTTTCTGGTCCTGCTATCTATCACACAAAGCATGCAATTACCCCGCGTGGCTGCTGTCTCAGGCTATCTGCGCTCGCAGCTAAGCTGGCTTGTAGTTATCTTCCCACGACCCAGCTCTGGCACTTATTTCACCCCTTATCCAGGGCCCTGAGCCAGATCTCTAGCGGCTTTGACCGAATTTCTCTCTGAGTCAGAACCCTTCAGGGAGCATTGTCCCTCCTCGTGTTCATCTTCATGTCCTGTACCTCACCCAGGGGCACCTGGGGATACTCACCCGCAGTTTATGTGGTCCGTGCTTTGTTTTTGTGGTGGTGCTGGTACCGTTATGTGCTCAGCCACACGATCAGACAGATCAGAGCTGGAAATAGCCCATTTTTCCCAATTTTGTTTTGTTTCACCCAGCTCAGTTGCACTCACAGTGTGGCGAAAGACCAGAAACAAGCAAAGCAGAGAGCATGGAGGTGGTTGGGTTGCTCTTTCATAAGCCTCCAGCTTATGCAAACATAGTTCAGGTCAAGTTTGCAAGTCTACCGGGCTCTTGAGGAGATAGGTGGAGATTAATCCCATAAACCTAGGCCTTGTTTTGAC